CGTAATGCACTTGTTGTTACTTAAACCACATGCTGTTAAGAATACTTACAAGAATGCATTCATCATGTATCATCATACTATAATTGTTAGCATGTATGCATTCGCAACATCTTATGCCATATTCATGCATCTAGGATCGACGGAAGAGATCACATTGCTGGAAATCAACGAAGGAGAGGAAGGAGACCAGCAGGAGATTCCTCAAGCCGCAGCTCCCGAAGAAGAGGAGCAGATTCCTGAAGAGCTTCCGGAGTGCCCTGACCACCGCCCCACCCTGACCACCGCCCCACTTCCTTTCTGAAAGGCAAGCCCCAGAGCATTCTAAGTCTCCTAGTGTTTTACAAAATAATCCTTGAATCATTTATGATTGATGCATTAGGTTATAGGGGTTGTCTGGAGACACTTGATGCATGGAACTACCTTATCCAGATATATACACCTTTAACCCTGTGTAGGTCCAGAATTGAATATATGCTTAGCCCTGCTTAGACCGGTAGAAGTCGGGTGATTTCCTATCACCTGCGAGATATAGGTGGATACCGAAGCACGGTTGGCTATATTTGCTATCATGGGAAGAGAACCATGGGGTAATGTAAATGGAGACCGGGCGGGATGTCGATAGAGAAGCACTAAGGCATGGAGGTCTTAGGTGTGGATCTATCCCCATCTGTGTCGATTAAGAACCGTACCGTTGTTGGCACTTCTGACAAGATTGAACGCATGCCTCTCACTTAGCTGGCCGGATAACTCGTTCCGATCGTGAAGCCGAGTAGCTCAACTCAGACCAGGCCTTGTTCTGTTGTGTGCCCTCTACGGGGAGTGGATCAATAGACCGTGGGCAAGCATGACCTAAGCGACCTGGTCCGGGACCGTGGGTAGGCATGGCTTGAGCGACCTGGCTACCATCAGTCCCTGATTGCGCAGCGCTATACAAACCCGCGAAATGTGTATCTGAGTTGTACCAAATGTGACCTAAGGCTGCCTTCGCGCGGTATGCCTGGTTTGTGTTAGGAACAAATTCCCAGCTGGTTGAAATCGATTCAAATCGCCGTCTCTCCCGGATAGTGAGAAACTTGGCTAGCCCCAACATCATAGTAATTGTACTATGAAATATGATGGTTCGGATAAACATGGAATTACAATACCTGCTATGGTTACTATTGTATGCTTTTAAAATGATATACCACATGTTTGACACAGGTTAGTTGCTAATTTAGAGATGGATAGTTATAATTAACTTGATAACATAATCATAATGATGTAACTGAGTTAATCGCTTTTACGCAAAATGTTGTCAAGCTATCTCCACTTATACAGCCTTGCATGATCCTTGGAGTCATTTTATTTCTGGTTTATGACGGGTAAGTCTAGCTGAGTACCTTCTCGTACTCAGGGTTTTATTTTCCCATTGTTGCAGATGGAACTGTGTATCATGGTTATTGCAAGAGTTGCTTCTATCCCACTGTGGATGAGGAGTAAGCCTTGGGTAGGCTTCTTATTAATCCTTCTACCTGCTTTTGTGGACCGTGATCGTATTTTGGCACTGTATTAAACTATGTTGGAAACTTTACTTTCAAACTTAATTTGCTTCCGCTTTTATCTATCAACTCGGTTTGTAATAACTGTGTTTCATACTCTGATGATGAAAATGTATCTGTGAACTTTATGTAATATGTGGCATGTATGTTGAATCATGTACGATCTTGGTTGTTGTAAATCGTTTATTGAGACCCGTTGTGGTACTCGATGGGCTACCGGGTTTATATGGGTTCAAGTATGACAGTGTGTCCGCTTGCGGGCTGCCATTATACTTGTACTCTTATAAATTGGTCAGTTCTGCGACAGGGTACACAGGGGATCCCGTGGGGAAGGGCAGGACCTACAGCAAAGTCATGCCTTGGTCGAAGGATGGAGGCGAAGTTCCCAACTTTGGTGGAGAGACTACGGCGGCAAGGAAAGGGCCGGGCATTAGTTTGCCACTTGATACATCGAAGAGTGGATTCAAGCATATGGTGGTGGCAAAGTTTTTCCCTTCGAAGAAGTGGATCTAATGAAGGTCAAGATTAAGGAGATCCCGATTGAGCTTCACTAGCCCAGCAATGGCGGACGGGTAGTTGAGCACCCATTCATCAATGACGTAAGAGACCTGAGTTTGAAGAAGACGCAACAGGTGAACTCGATTCAGCTGGACCGGTGGTTCCGCGCACCGCCGAAAGTTAGACTCACCGCTGGGATCCTAGGGTCAGGGCCTAACCATGGCACACGCGTCACCAATCTAGAGAGGGGTGAGCGGGAGGTTGGGGGTGACTCTGAGTCAGAGCATCGCAGGCCCTCCTCCCCACCTCACCTTCCTGACCCGATGGTGGATGTAAATATGAATCCATCAACTACACACCCTAGGGTTCTTCACAAGCCAAAATTCCCCAATCTGAGAAAGTTGGTTGGACACCTATGGAGGTGTGCTCCTGCTAGATCTTTCGTAGCTGCTGTGAGAAGTGAGTCGGCCCCCGTCGTGTGAGTCACCATGAATTGTGGCAGTGGGCAGAGGAGCAATTTTGGATATAGTAGAGAGGGTTTCGGAGCTAGGCAACAAGGCTGCCGCCATGGTCGGACTGGTGCACGTGACTTTGTGTGGGAGCGGACGGCTAAACAAGAAGATCAGCAGGAAGACGAGCCGAAGAGCAACAAATCATCAACCCTAAGGAAGGCAAAGCTAAACAAGAAAGTGATAATGCTCGCTAGGAACAACATGTGATGAACAAGGCCCATGGCAAGGAAGTGTGCGGGAAGGATGCTGCCGGTACCTCTGAAGCAATGGAGGCCAAGGCTGGAGACAATCCTCAGCAAGGTAATCCTAAACCCCAAGAAGCTGGAAACACCCTGAACAGAGCCCCTCCTAGTACCCAAGTGTGTGGTCTACTTAGTCATCTATCAAGGGATTGTAGACTACTCAAATGTGAAATATGTGGTCTGGGGAACCATGTGGCATACAACTGCAGGAGGGGTATTCCATGGAATTCAGGCCTAGAGCTTTGTGCTGCTCAAGTAGAAGACTGTAGCTTCTTTTTCATAGAGGAGAATATTAATATTGATCCCCGAGTTGCTAGAGAGAAAGACAGTACAACAATCATTTCTATCGTTGAAGGGAATGCTACTGGAAAGCACATTGAGGAAGAGTTCATGAATACCATTGGATCATATGCATGGAAATGGAAAGCAAGACAAGTTGGGGAAAAGAATTTGTGTTTATGAGATTCCGTAATGCCAAAATGGTTAAGGAATGGAGCTATTTCAAAGTCGTGGCGATGAGAGGGGTTGATGCCCAAATGAAGATTGAACCATGGTCTCCAAGTGTGGAGGCAAAAGGGTCTCTTCAACAAGCATGGTTTAGGCTGAGGGACATACCATCTGAAGAGAGATCAGTAAGGACCATGGCCAAGGTTGGAAACAGGTCGATTTGCACCCAGCTTGAGGAGATCTTTGTTGGGTCACTCACGGCTTCCACAATGGAGACATAGAGCTCACTTGGTGAGGCCCAAACTTTGGTCAAACACATCGTTGCGTCTTCTTTGTTGGTTTAGCTCACTTTACATTTACCTTGCATTTATTTCATATTTTGTGGGCCACCATTTGTGTCATCTTGGTTGTATGTGTTTGTGGGTGTAGGAACATATCGAGCAAGTTGCATTTGCACCGAATACATCCCACGACACTTTGCATTGAAGAGCCGAAGAAAGAAGAGCAAAAACCAGTAGCTAACTATTTTATACAGGATACCTAGAGGAAACCTACCAGGCCGGTTACACTAGCTAGGACAGTTCTACTACTGTGCAGCAGAAAAACCGGCTTGGCCAGTTCTGTTGGGTGCAGTGCCAATTATTATTTGTTTGTGCAGGTATAAATTCGTAAACATTCTATTCTCCCCCTTCTAGGCATCATTCAAGTCCTTTCACCAACAAACTTCTGTATTCTCCCCCTTCTAGGCATCATTCAAGTCCTTTCACCAACAAACTTCAGGCGCCAGTGTTTAGTTCCACCCCCAATTTCTAAAAAGTTGCTACAGTACCTGTCACATCCAATATTTGCGGCCCATGCATGGAGCATTAAATGTAGACGAAAAGATAAACTAATTGCACAGTTTGGTGGGAAATTACGAGACGAACGTTTTGAGCCTAATTAGTCCATGTTTGAACACTATTTGCCAAATAAAAACGAACGTACTACAGTAGCCCCAAAATCCAAATTTCTACAACTAAACAAGGGCTTGGGCATATTCCACACCCAGTTGTCACTTGGGCGGCCAGAGCACTAGTCCTCAAAGTCTATGTTTCTATCTATAAATAAGGAGGTGTTCGGATCCAGTGACTAAAATTTAAGAGGTGTCACATGAGGATATTGTATAGGGTGTTTGATACTAATAAAAAAATTAAATTACAGCCGTCAATACTCCACGAGAAGAATTTATTAAGCCGAAGTAATCCATCATTAGCACATGTTACTATAGCACCACATTATTAAATTATGAATTAATTAGCCTTAAAAGATTTGTCTCACAAATTAGTTATAAACTGTATAATTAATTTCGTAATTAATCTATATTTAATATACCATGTATATGTCATATATTCGATGGGACAGCCAGAGTCACGACCAAACACCCCTAAAGCGCGGCGCCGGAGAAAACGTGCCAGCAAACTCTCATACAGCTGGCTACAGCCATACTCCTACTAAACTCTCGTACAGGCTACAGCCATACTCCTACTAGTAAGAATTCAAATAAAACAGCTAGCCGAGGGGTAACTGACAGTTGCCGTTGTGAGTTTTGCTGGCAAATTTGGCACTACTTTATCGCTTTTAATGGCTGCTAGCTTGGTAAAATTGGAAGCTTTAGGTCATCACATCAGCCGATCGAGGTGCCTCTCAAGTGCTCCCCCCTTTCGTTCCCCAATCGGCGACGGCGAGCGAGAATTTACACACTCTCCAGCCAAACCCAAGCCAAGATGCTGCCCACCGGCGACTACTCTCAGCCGCTGCCAGCTCCGGCGCTCACGCCGGCAGTGCGCCAGCTTGACGACCTCCCGTCCGACGTCTTGAACAAGCTCCTCGCTGGCCTCCCGGCCTCCGAGGTGGCCCGCTCGTCGGTGCTGTCGCAGACCTGGCGCAGCCGCTGGGAGTCCGTGGCCGGCCTCGACATCGACCTTGACGACCGCGTCCGCGACTGGGAGTCCGCGGCGGGATTCCTGGAGCGCTGCGCGGCGCCTGTCCGCGGCGTCAGCATCCGCGGTATCCCGCTGCGCCTGTTCGACCGCGCCGACGGCTGGGTGCGCACCGTCGCAGGCAAGAGCCCGCGGTCTCTGTCCCTGGCGCTGCCCATGCCCACCGCTGTCCCTTCCCTCTTCGCCTGCGACCCCGCCGCGCTGGCCGCGCACAAGCTGATCACCCGCGTGCTGCCGACGCCGCCACCCGCCTTCACAGGGTTTCGCGGCCTGACAGCGCTGGACCTGGACTACGTCATGTTCTCCGGAGATAAGGGGTGGGAGCGGCTGGAGGCCATGATCTCGGCAGCAGCGCCGACCCTGGAGAAACTGCGGCTGGCGAACACCGCGTTCGACTTCGACCATGTCGCCCCCGGCGAGGGCCTCCCTGGCACGTGGATCATCCAGGCACCAAACCTCCGGTGGCTGGAGCTGCGCCTGACGATGGCCGGCGCCGGCTCCTTGAGCTAGGGCACCTGCCCAAGCTTGACTACGCCAACATCACGCTGAACGCCCACGAGCCGAGAGACTACGGGAGCATGCTCGCAGCTCGCTGCCCTTGCTAACGTCCGGGAGCTTGAGATCGGCAACTTTGACTGTGCCACATATCAGGTACGAGAAGCGTATATGCAAATATACATGTTTGCAATTTGCATTCATTGATCAGTACGCATTTTAGAACGTCGTGCCATATTTGCTTCTCCTGTGCTTTGGCTGGCTATATATCTTGCGAGTTGTGAACTTGTGATCCGTTGTTATAGATACATGGCATGTAGTGTATGCATAGGAAGATCTGTTAATAAGCGTACTGACATGATTAGTCATAGATTGTAAGCCGTTTTGGCTTTTCTTCGGTCATAAATTCTACTACATATCTAGACATAACATACATCTTAATGCAAAAGCTCTTTACCTTGTTAGACTAAAAAAGCTAAAATGACTTACAGTTTGTAATGGAGGGAGTACTTAATTTTTATTTGCTTCTCCTGTGCTTTGGCTGGCAATATAGCTTGCGAGTTGTGATCCGTTGTTATATATACTCGCTCTATGTTGATAAGAGAAGTCACTTTGGACAACGATACGGTTTCCAAAGCATAACTTTGACTTATTATTTTTTAAAAATATTTATTGAAAAGTGTTATATGTATATGTTTCTGAAAGTATTTTTAAGACAAATCTATTCATGCGATTTTCATATTTTCAAACTTACCAATTTAAAAGTTATTCTTGATATATATTTTCAATACTTGACCCAACCTTTGTCCAAAATGACTTCTTTTACCAACCTGGAGGGAGTACATGGCATGGAGTGTATGCACAGGAAAATCTCTTAATAAGCGTACTGACGTGATTAGTCATGGCAAGTGCTTTGAAAAAAAAAGACTTAAATAATTGGAATATATAGGAGATGAAGACATTCCATCAGATGAAGATCTCTTAATAAGCTTTACCTGAGAGCATGCCTTTCTTATTTGACATAATCTGAGAAAAAAAAATACATGCATGGGGTTTGGCCCGCCCCTGTATTTGTGGTGGAATTCGGTTGTAACAAGCCCATTATATTCATGAAAATAATAAAAACATAATAACGACCTTTCAAATAGATTATTTATTACTACTTCCTCCATTTCAAATTGTAAGTTGTTTTGGCTTTTTAGATTCATAAATTCTACTACGTATCTAGACATAATGTACATCTTAATGCAAAAGCTATTTACCTTGCTAGAAAAAACAACATGACTTACAATTTAGAATGAATGGAGTACTTAATTTTTTTTACGAACCTGGAGGGGCTGTAGACCCTACAGTTTTAAAATAATACAATGAGAACAAGGATACGGTCTTTACAAAACCACTCAAGAAACAAAAAAAAAAGAAAAGAGATGCTCTCCGAGCGCTGAATTACAACAAGCTTTGGATCCTATCAATTAAAAAGCACAGAAGAGCTTGACTTTGCAAGGAGGGGGAGGTCAGAGCCAACTCCTTGTTAAAGACTCCCTTGCAATCCTGGATATTAAGGCGAATCCCTTTAAAGATTAAGTCATTGCTGGCCCCCAGATTGTCTAGAACATGACGATCACGGCATTCAAGAAGAAGTCTGAGTTTAGTTGGTTGTTGAGTACTTGGATGACTTCAGGAAATGAGGCTGAAGGATGTTCAGGTTCAGAATGTTCCAACAATACTTGGCAGAAGGGAATCTGCAGAAGAGATTATCACATATAATGTTGTTATCGCTTCCCAATGTGCAACCCTCACTAGTAGAGAACAGATTTTTGATTCAGCACATTAGTCTCGGCTAGCACCATTAGTCCCGGGTCCAAGTTTTCTAGGCTTCAAAAGACCTTTAGTCATTAGTCTCGGTTGTTATTACTAACCCGGACTAAAGAGCCTCGACCTTTAGTCCCGGTTGGTAACATCAACTGGGACTAAAGGTAGACCCTTTAGTCCCGATTGGTGTTATCAACCCAGACTAAAGGACCCTTTAATCCCGGTTGATGTTACCAACCCGGACTAAAGGTCCTCCGATGGACTAGTTCAAAAGAAAAGCATCCCACCCAATATCACTTTGGCCGGAACGAGGATTTCACGACGATGACTTCACCGGCGTCGATCGATTGCTCGCCGGAGCCCATCGATGGGTTCGACAACCGCTTTGTGCACCTTCAAGGTAAGGAAGTAGAAAGGGGTGGGTCCGCTGTGGGCATCTTGGCCCACATTCGAGTCTCGGCCGGATACGATCCTTGTTATTTTCCCTAAGGAAGGTAGAGAGCTCTCAGGGCCGGTCGAATGAACCCGAGAGCTATATGGATTGATCGCTAAGAATCTAGAGTCGGTCATCAGCTCGCCCCAACCGGATCCCCGTGAACGGGATATCGGGCCCCAATCAGGAAAGACTTTTTCTGAACCACCAAATCTCATGGACATACCCACGAAGGGTCTGATTTCGATGAAAGAGAACCACCGTTCCCAGGTTACATCATAGGCTACAGAAGAAGGTCAAAGCCCTCAGAGGCCTCCCATTTGGAAAAGCGTTCGAATGAGTATTCTACTCCTCCGAAAGCTCAGGGGCTACTGTCGAGGACAAATACTAGGGTACCCGAAGAGGAGAGGCTAATGGTCATTATACGTTAATCCATCCAGGCAATCAAAGGTGCGACTATAGCTCCAACCAACACCAAGGTCGCAGGCTCCGCCTCGTTCGACCTCTGTCCAACCTTTGGCTGCGGGCTCCATCTCGCCCGACCCGAAGGTTGTGCGATACGCCTCACCCGACCTCTAGGGGCCGACTTCGCCTCGCTCGACCTCTAAGGGCGGGCTCCGCCTCGCCCAACACTGAGGTCGCGGGTTCCACCTAGCCCGACCTCTGGCCGTGGGCTCCGCCTCACCCGACCTCTGGGGGCGGGCTCCGCCTCGCTCGACCTCTAACGGCGAGCTTTGCCTCGCCTAACCCCAAGGTCATGCGATCCGCCTCGCCCGACCTCTAAGGGCAGGCTCCGCCTCACCCAACCCCAAGGTCGTACGATCCGCCTTGCCCGACCTCTGGGGATGGGCTCTGTCTCGCCCGACACTGAGGCCATGGCTCTACCTCGTCCGACCTCTAAGGGCGGACTCTGCCTCGCCCAACCCCGAGGTCATGCGATCCACCTCGCCCGACCTCTGGGGACGGGCTCTGCCTTGCCCGACACCAAGGTCGCGGGCTCCACCTCGCACGACCTCTAAGGGCGGGCTCCGTCTCGCCCGATGTCTGAGGGTTGGCTCCGTCTCACCCGACATCTGAGGGCTGGCTCTGCCTCGCCCGAAGCGCCTAGGCCTCTAATTCAACTCAGATTTGGCACAGGGAGATGGATAGGAACATGGCGAACTCGATTATGCGACTTGCAGTGGCTATTGCAGAGTAGAGAAGGCGGGTGATGGGATATGGCGGCGGCGGATCAACTGCTACGCGGTGCAAGACAGTTCAGAGGGTCACGGTGTGCTCGAGGAGTACCCCCGAAGCTTGGGGGTCTTCTTAGCATGACAGAGGGACGGCGGGATGACCCGGCGGTGATGGCTTCTTCTCGACGGAATCGGGGGCGGCGCTAGGGCACAGCCGATGTGGATGGTGGTCCTAGGCCTCGGTGGGGGACGAAAGGGGTACGGAGGATCACTATTTGAGAGGCCGGGTGACTTGGGGCACACGTCGTTGAGCGGGGCGTGGATGGGGCGGACACAGACGCGGTTGAGGAGTATGCGTCGCGTACGGATGGAGGTAGGGGGCGAAGCTGATAGGCGGCCCCGGGCGGTCGGCGACAGAGGAAGGGGAGAAGAGAAACAGCGGCGTCCGCGCTGGGCCGATGACTGCGCGGGGAAAACATTTGGGCCGACTTGGCCCACGTGGGAAAAGTGGGGGAGGAGAGGCGTGGGTGCGCTTGCTGGCGGGCCACGACCGTCGGCCCAAGAGGAAGCGCCGCGTGGGGAGGGGATGGCTGGGCCGGCGCGCACTGGGCCAAAGGGAGGGAAGAAGGGCCGAGAGAGAGGCCGGGGTGCTAGGCTCGGGAACAGAGGAAAGGTCGGCTGGCTTGGAGCCTAGGCTGAAAAAGAGAGAGAAGGAGAGAGGAGTAAAGAAACTCTTTTCCTCTTTTTTTCTTTTTCAAACCAAATGCAAATATGACCCTTCATCAAATTCAAATAAAATTTTGAATATGCGTTTCAATTCAAATAAAAATGAGAAATTTTGGTTAGTTTTCAAAAATAAAATTTTACAACTTTTGAAATGCTTTGATTTCCTAATTTTCTTTTCTTTTACTTTAAAGACAACTTCAAAAACATTTTAGCATATTTTCAATTTGAATCAAATCCACACAATTCAAAGAAACAAATGCACCGGCATGTATGCACAAACATGTTGCTACTCCCTATAATGAATTTTAATTTAATGAAAAATTTATTTTCCTATGTTTTCATGAGCACAAAAATTCAAAAACAAATCATTTTAATCCTAATTTCAAAAGTGCAAATTTTAGGGTGTTACACCGATGGACTAGTTCAAAAGAAAAGCATCCCACCCAAGATCACTTGTGCTGTGTAGGTGGGGTGAAAAGGTACGTGCGAGGCCATACATGAAGTCTTGGGTTCGAATCCCACGAGCCGCAGGAGTGGAAGGCATTATTTTTTTAGCCTGGGAAGACCTTTATTCCTGGTTGAAGCAACCGGGACTGAAGGACAATGCTTTTAGTCCTGGATCCCTAGTTCCGGTTGGAAAAACCGGGACTAAAGCAAGTTCCCAATGGCGACGATTGCCCACTTCTCTACTAGTGCCTCTTGTAGTTTAGTACGTAATGCACACACATAACTGTTGTATATGCTACTCTCTTCATCCTGAAATATAGGTATCCTAAAAAATTTAAGACATATTAAGAGAGTACAAAACACAAACACACATATATATCCCATCACTTCATTTCCTAATCAATTTAATTCCCACTGCAACG